ATTGGCACCAGTCCTTGACAAATAACACATTCAGATTTACCTAATCGTCACAAAATCCTTCCATCAGAACTGCCACTTGACATTTGTTAGAATTTACTGAATCATTCATAAAATTTACCAACCGAAAACGAAGGTCACTTTTGGAAGTTATCTCAATACTGTGCACATACTAATTTAATTCTCCGAATGTATGACGAGATTCTATTGTTTTAATGCAGCTTTTAACCTTGTTCATTCCTTGTTTCACTAATTAATTCCGTGTTGTCTGCACATAAACCACAGTTAAAACTGACTGATTGGTTACATAGGAAATAATGGTTATTTTAACATATATTACATGGTCACTAGAAATCCTATGCTATTCAATAACTAAAGTACAGTTATGAATTGATTGTCCTCTGAATTTTGTAGTTTAAACTATTGAACGCCAACCATTGGTAATCATTTTGTTAACATTGATACTCTCCCTTAGCCATGATCGCACTGCGAAATCTCACAGTGAATTTATTCTCATATAATACTTGATGTGGAGCAGCTAAAGTGGAAATCTACAGTTTAATTTATTGGTCAGTAAGACAGAATGTTTCTTACTCCAGATTTTGATTGATCACTCTCCATAGTGTAAACATGTATTACTTGATCACCAGAAATCCTGTGCTATTCAATAACTGGAGTACATTTGTCAACTGATTGTCGTCCGAGTTTTATAGATTAAACGATTGACCACCAACCATTGGTATAAATTTGGTGATCATTTATATATAGTGATATTTTAAATTAAATACTCTCATTCACTCTCTTAGACTGTGTTTTTGTGATCTTCTGCGGTTCAATAAGTTACAAAGTTCTAATGGTAGAGAGGGGGTAGGTAGTAGTTACATTTTCTATTGATTAATTTATTATAAATTGAAACCTATTCTGATTATCTTATCTGTTTTATTCGATAATATCACTAGTAAACATGTTGCGGAAATGAATTCTAGACAGAACTACATTTTTAAATGGCAGATTGTGATAATCTTTATCAAGTTACCATATGTTATAAATATGGCATAAATAAATCATTTTTAAGAAAAGTAATGACCTCGAAATTTTGAGGGGTTTGGAAACAGAACAGCTTTCTCATAGATAAGAATCAATCTCTTTTCATACTTAATGTCAAGTGACAAAGTGATGAGCATAATATAAATAAAAAAGAGATTAACCTTGGTAATTTTATCCAACATTGTCTTTCTGATATGGATCACTCTGGAGCCTGTAGTTATTATGATTTCCGTAAATAACGGAATTCGAGTAAAACTTATCATTTATCGTCAATCAAGAGATAACTTTATTTGACACAATGGTGATCCATGATTAATTTACAATTTATAGACTTTATTTGTACGAGAATGTCCTATACATTTTTATATACAAAATTTGCATGTGGAATAACTTTTTACGTAAAATTTCTTACTGTATAATGGAGAAAATACACTTAGTTACCTTAAATTAATTTCCTTATACTTAATTATTTACTGTCCTTTTGCTTAACTGCGTTACGTTCGTTAGTAATTAGCAACCGTATACATCATATTCATTGCAGAAATCTGCAGCCATTTGGAAGCCTCTCCCGATCTCCCACATTTTGGGAGCATTCCGTGTACCTAAGTAAATGGTTGCCTTGGTTTTTGAAAGGGGAACTCGGCTTTCAACATGAGGTGTCATAACTCTTCTAGATGAAGACCATCTGACTCCCAGGGCAGAGTTTAAATGACTTGAATAATTTTTTTCTGGTTAGGGTTTTTTTAACGATTTAGTTTTCAACGGAATGGGGTCGCTAACATCATGCCCAACTCTCCGCCTCCTTTATCCAGGCTTGGGACCGGCAGTACCCCCGGAAGGGCTCTAGGTGGAGTTTAGATTATCTTTATTATTTCCTGATAGATGATAACCATATCTTAAGAATTAAAGACATTATTACAGAAACTCAGGCGTAGTACATAGTAGCCTAAATGCTACTATGGTGTATGCTACTTATGTTGACAGATATAAGTAGTATGTAAACCAGTCAGATGTAGAATGCCTATCAAGAGAGGATTGAGCTGAAAAGAACTAAAAGAGGTACAAAAAGTAATTGTAATAACAACATAATTGAAAGAATCATGAAAGGTGTAAAGGACAACTGATGGAAGATGTGCAAATTGTGTATTTAATGTATGATTTTCATAATTGGCTAAATCACTGTTTAATTTTCATTAGTTTCCCTATTTGAGTTTTTCGTTCACTATACTACTTATCTATAAAAACCAAATTTTGTTCATCAAATTTTTACTTTCCTTTGAGATTATGATTTATTGTTAATTAAAATCGGTTAACCTTTCACACCAAATGCTGTTTAAAACAAAACAGTGCAGATTTAGAAAATTTTCTTTGCTGAATCACCTTTACTTTTTAAAATAAACGGGATTATTTGTCAGCCAGTCAGTCAGCTACAACGTAGGACCGGGCACATATATGCATCTGTCCAAGTTGCCATACCGCGTTAGCACAGCAATATTAACACCAGATTCATAGAAGTAGTTAATTCAGTGGTGATAATATATAAAACAAAGATTGCATATAAGGAAGAAATAATTAGGACGTAGAAAGATATAAAGCGATTTTAATCTTATAGTTTAAGGGAAGACAGAGAGTGTATACACCTACGCCATTGCAAACGATTCTGAACCATACCACCAAGAGTCTCCAACCATTGGTTATGATAGTCGTGCGGACCCCAATCAACCATCTCCAACACTTGTCAGCATTTTGTGTCGTGGTAATCGGTGTTCAGACATAAGCAACACGTGACCCAACCATCTCAGTCGATGGGGATTCACAACCTCATCAACTGATTTATCATCATTTCCTAATACCCTACGTCTAACCTCACTATTACTTACCCGGTGATCCCAGCTAATGAGAGCAATATTTCTAAGGCATCTGTAATCCAATACTAGTAGTTTACTAGTATCTTCTACTCTTAATGGTCACGTTAATTTGTCAATAGTCGATTGTAATTTTATCGACTCAATTAGATAAACTTTAAACATTTAGGTCAGTGTTATTGTTGCTAAATATTGTCTAACTAGTAAACTGTTCATTTTTTTGGAAATTCCACTGTAATACTCTAAGTCGGATATTTTTTCATAGATAGTTGGTAAGAAGTTAGCTTAGTTAGACAATAGGAAATTGCCTAATCACATAGATCTATTTACAAGACAATAAACAGAACCGATTGTGTTATATTTAATTCAATTGATTACTCAAGGTTAATAATATACGAATCACCATTTAGCACTTTTATTGAAATATTTTCATTCAGTTTGCGAATAACTCTGCAGATGTATCTTATCCTTCAACTTCCATGAACGAATGATTATTCAATAACTATGTATATGCTTGAAGTATGAAACAATCGATTTGTATCAAAGAACACTATGATATTTGTATGTAATGATGATTTCTTTATACTATATTTCGTGTTTAATTTGAATTGTCTAGTCAATACTTTCTATTGTGCCAGCGAATGTCTCTCTGATTCGAATATTGGAGAGACTAATAGAGTAGAAATTGGAATTACGTGTTAACAAACCAAATTTGAATACTTATAGTTATCTCAAAACTCATACTAGTATTCAACTGACTACTTCACTATCGTGTAACTGAACCTTGTGAATATATATGTACTCTATTATATTACTACTTTCTTTAAAAAAATAACATTCGATTACATAGTTTAGTGATGTGGAAAACAATACAATGCCTTTATTGGAGTATTGCAATGATTACCTAGAAATGTGCTGTATAATGGTTTCTGAAATCAATAGTTTTCTTTATTTCTAAGAGATTTTAATATTCTATTCTTGATAATTAAGACTGAATTTCACTCAGTAGTGAAAAAGCTATATCACTTAAATCCGTTCAGGTTAAAAAATATTGCAAAAAACAGTGATTAAAAATAAACCTTGAAAATCAGCAACAGTATCAAATAAACCCATATGATTGCCACTTCACCGGCTGAACCAGTTGATGGCTCCTTGACTACTCAGTAATGGATAACCTGCTGGTGTTTGAAGAGATTTGTACTGGGTTTGAGTCAAAGTGTGATTATCAATACTGAGATGAATATATACTAAGCTGAGAAATGCCAAACAAGACAGAATGTACATCGTTGATTTAAGCTTTAGCTACAATCCAAACACACCAATCACGTTTCAGTTAACTATACGTTATCTTTTTGTAATACTACTCTGGCCATTGACGAAATATGGAATCGTTTTTTCTTTTCATATGTATTTCTACCTTAATAAGATATCCGAAAACACATTACTTTCAAAATAATTTACCGTCATGAAATGGTGTTATCATTAGAAAATGATTGATTCCTTCGATGAGTAATCCACTCGTAAAATTACCCACCAATACAAATTTGTCTGGATGTACGTTTGATCATAGAAACATACAAGTTAATAAATACTATAAAAAACAGATAATTATGTATATTTACTCATAAACCTTAGAACATGTTTTGCATTAACAGTTCGCTCGTAATAGGAAATAGACATTTAGAAGTAGTGTCAGTGAATGAAACAACATAGAGAATCAATAATTAATGCAATTTAAATTGTTATTACATAGCACCAAAATGCCTCTAACACTCGAAAATTTGTTTATGTTCAAATAGTTTTGTAAGATATTTATAGTAATGGTGACAGTTTTACAACAACAACAAAAACTTACCAAATACCTATGAAGTTATCCCATACAATTGAGATTAGAAAATCGGTAACAATAAAAAAACACTATGCCTACTTTCGGAGAGTTCAATACTAAAACGATACAGCTATCTAATGATTACTAGTTTTTATTAGTTATGTAATTAAAATTAATCTGTGATTTAAAACTACCAAATTCAAAAGTATCCTCAATCCCCTATGCTAAGAAATATATATTAATGAATACTTGATGATATTATTGTTTTATTAAATCGTACAGTATATATTCATGATATTAGATCATTAAAAAAGTCAGTTAATTCATTTACATATTGATATTTTAAATTCATTATTTAAATACTCCGAATTAGTAGGTGAATAGTTTACTCTGCCAACGAATTTGACCTGCTTGGAGGTTTTGTCGGTGCTTTAGTTGGTTGTTGTGTTGGTTCTTGACGAGGTTCATTATATGGTCCTTCAGTATGATATTCGCCCTCTTCTTCTTCTTCATCATCATCCTTACCTTTATAATATTCATTGTATTTACGACGTTTTAACTCTCTTAATTTATTCATTGATTGTTCTGCTAAATTAACATGACCATAATTATGCGTTTCACCATCATCATAATTATTACCATGATATGAATCATACTCTTGATCATCATGATTATCATGATTACCATAATTATCTGGTACAAATCCACCTCCTTCTTCCATATCATACTTATGCCCATTAATTGTTTTCATTGGAAAGTGTATAGCGTCGTATGAATTTTTCCTAGAATGTTCTAAAATTCCATTATAATAATGATTAGAATATGTATAAATTGAATTCATTAAAGCAATATATATTATTATTCCTATTAAATAATACTTAGTGAATAGCATATTTTATTGTAAATGATAAAATGAGAGTGCTTCAATAGTATATATGGATATATATATGTTTATTCATTTATATGAACATGTATATTGTATAAATTATTATTTTTTTGAGGTTGCGTATAAAATGTTAAGTGCAGGCTTAGAATAGATAAATAAATCAATTATTCTTGATACCCTATTATTGTTATTCCGCACTTATTGAAAACATTGATGCGTACAAATTACAATTTGAAATAAACTATTATTTGAGTTCAACCAGGTCTGTTGTGAGATAATAACTCGCTGAAGACGATGGTGGACGGTGGCACGATTTTGTGGATTGATTGAAGTTAGACATTAACACCGTTGGATATCGGCTCAATGGTCTAGTAGTTAAGCTCTCGTGCGCGAGACTGATAGGTCCCGGGTTGGAATCTTACGAGGCGGGATCGTGGATTCGCGCTACTGAGAAGTCCGACAATAGGACGAAACGGTTGTGCAGTGCCTTCAGGTTTTCCATGGTGATCTAGCTTCAATTGATTCATGATTTCAACTATTGAAATTTCGTAAAATCTCCACTAAACCCCTTCTGAAAACATATTTTTAACAAATATGATAAGACTTCCATTGTTAGTACAGATTAATGTTTAGTTGTATATATTTCTCACATAATAGCATAAAAACCACCTCATTATGAAAGGCATCATCTTCTTTGCATCTTATCTGTAAGGCCACCACAGAATGTATTCATCATATAGGTTTATCGATTGCTTTAAGAATATACGTACATTTTGGGAATCATCAAACTGCAGCACGAGGCAACCCATAACGTTATATGCTGAAGGAAAAATGAAAAGAGGAAGACCCTAAAACATATTGTGCCGGGAACTGAAGGCAGACATTGAAAGAATGAACAGAAGTTGAAAACAACTAGAAAGGAAAGCCCAGGACAGAGTTGGTTAAAGAATCCAAATTATTAGACTATTTGCCTGCACGAGTGGTAACACGCGTAAGTAAGTATTAAAAACGTTTCTACAGTTCACCATCAGAAAAGTTTAAAGTAACTACTTTGAATCGCTATATGCTCTCATTCTTATCTAAAACGAAACTAGCACCAAGTTCATTACAAAAACATATTTCTTAGTGTTGAGTACCCTATCTAGATTTACAACCCTTTGTAATCAAATAGTTAAGTCTAAAAGTATGTAATATCATCACAGAAAAGAATAAGATGAATTTGTTGTAGCCTTTATGGTTTTATTATTTAAAAATATTATTATGGTAAAATTATTTTAATAAATTGTATTAAACTTCAACTGTTGGCTAATGTTTTAAAAAATGTCAAAAAATTGATTTTAATAAGGTTATTTAAGAAACATTAGATAATACCCTACTCTTCCCCATGAAAGAGAAAGTTGCATAATGTTGCTTAGAAATTAGGTGATTACGAAAGCTTTTAGTTGTCTTTAAACTGTCCCTGTGTTTCTTTGTGAAATAAGACAGTCAATGATGAATACCAGTCAGACGTAACTGAGTTTAACTCCATTTTGTAGTCTAATATTCTAGTCAACCATACTCATGATCTGAACATAACATATCTGAAGATTTTCATAACTAATCCTTTAGTTTCTGCTATTATCTCGCGCTAAAAGTCAATTCTCTTCAGATGATTTGAATAAAATTAGAATGGTATCACTTTTGCACCATACAAGCTACCAGTTGACCTCAGACCTGATATAGAGCAGTTAAGAACTAAAAAATACTGATCACAAGATGACTGAGAAATATAGGTAATTGTTTTACTAAAACAAAAGCAAAATATTCAGTTCTACAAAGAAGAGATCACTTATTTCAAAGTTTCACTTCATTTCACTTCATAATGAAAAGTAGATCACGAATCAAATATCTAAACTAATCACGTTATTAATGTCCATCGATATCCTGGATTATATAAACATATGAGTGTTCACTTCAAGCGTTCAAACAATTTTAACACTTTAATATGATAGTATCTGATATTTAAAAAACTAAGAATTTATTGATTGTGGGATTATTATACTCTAACTTGGAATCCTGAATGTAAATAGAAAAGAGGAAGACCAGGGAACACACGGTGTCGGGAATCGGAAGCAGACATCAAAATAATGGGTAACAACTAGAAAGGATTGCCGAGAACAGAATTCGGTGGAGAATGCTGGTGAACGACCTATGCTCCTCCATGAAGGGTACTAGGCGTAAGTAAGTAAATAATTACTGTCATTATTTACAATATTATCACATAACTGGATCATACATAATTTTGTACATCTAAATGTTTAGATATGATTTTAAGTTTACCTATCTTATTTCTAGAACAATCTTTATAGTTTCATTGTATCCGTGTAATTTGATTTGATGAACACATAATGCTTCAAAGTATTCTAGTGTTCTTGATTTTTCTTCACTAAGAACAAGATTTTATTACTTATGTCCATGATTTCTAAACATCATTTGAGAAACATACTTTTTAATGAACCATCAATAAAATCTCTTAATATGACGAGAAGAAAAGTCAAAATTCGATTCATTTACTCATTATACGTTTTGTTCAACATTACTTCCGTTCTCATTCAATGTGATGATCATTCAGTGCAGTATTTGTTTTCTTTTCTCGTATGATATTTTATTCTGTATAATATACGATATTCTTGTATTCAATAAACATGAACTATACTCAGCATACGATTTGTTATACCCCTAAGTATTTTTTATATATGTGATTTCATCCTAACTATTAATCAAATTGTGTGTACAATTGATATATAAATGAGTGCATTTTTGGCTAGAGTCGTCGTCATCGTGCTTTGGGGGTTAATAAATCTTCATTTGTTCTAGTCTTTGTGTTCTTATTTTGGCGTTCTGGGAATTGCAGAGGTCCGTCGTTTCGAGTGTAAGTGATAAGTATTTCCGATACAACAGCCAGCGACGACCAGATATAACAAGTAACATTCAGTCAACAAGACATATCAACTCCTTGATACGTTATGCATACAAGAACCTAAAGAAATTATTGATAGACATTGATTTTTATCAATTCTGATACAGTTAAGTAAAAAAATAAAATTTGTTCTAAATAAATAGAAAGATAAGTTTGTAAAGAAAATATTGAAGACATAAGGGAAGAAAGAGAAACACAAGCAGAAAAAATGAACTGAATTGAGATTAGTACATAATAACAGTTGGTTTAATTAAAAACACAACTAGGGAAAATTTTCTTTCATTTAACGATACTCCTTTCACCATTATGAAGAATTTGGAAGAAAATTATAATAAAATTACCATTGGTTTCTGTTTTTAATTATATCTGTAAACATTTACTAGATCAAGTTAAACCAGCACTTAGATCAAAATAAATCGACCTAAACTTTCTTGGATACTACATTGATTGATCATAAACTGATCATCTTACCAATTTTTCTATCTAGTTCCCGGATAGATATCTACAAATCTAATGTACTTGAATTTAAAATTAGATTCAAATCCATCTTAAAACTGTTACATTCATTTGAACTGTTTTTCAAAAGTTAATTTCCAGTGGTAAAGTCTAAGCATAATTACTGAATTATTAGTTCGATTGATATTTATGTAATAACTTGTTCTGTTTATGAAAATAATAAACTCATTGTACATTAACATAAAGATCTGTCACATACACCTGTCTAATCAAAAGTTGACATTGCCAAGAATGCCTGATAAAACAAAAATGCAATTTGTTACATCTACTTTGAATCATCTAAAGGTAATATAATTAAAAAAAAATTGAATAAAAATAAGAAACATAAATACACTTGATGTTGTTTTACTTCTATCTTCCCATTGTTATTTAGGACTGCAATTGATAAGTCTCTTATTGACATATGTGCATCCTTTGCGGATTGCCTCTATATAGCCTTAAGTCACAAGCTTTTACAGCAAAGATGGATAGTGGCCAGCATTGGGGTCCAAGATGCACGTTTCGTCGTATTTGGGACTCGTCAGTTAGGTGTACCTGCAGTACCGTTTGCTTCAAAACGAAACACGAGTCCTGGATTCCACTGCTAGGCACTATCCATCTTTGGTTCTAATTCACTCCCAGTATCAAGTTTAATATTCCATGTACAAAAATGATAAACTCACAGAACTTTATATATAGTTTTTATATTTTCAAGTTCGACAATTTTATTCATTAGAGTTCCTGAACTATATATATATATATATTTTAATAATAGACGCAACAGTTTAATATTATTACTCTTACCCTAAAGTTAAACATCATTAAATATAAATAAAACGGTGAATAACTGATCAAATCACAAATAAAATAGCTTATTAGTTCATTGATACTATTTCGAACTTCACTGTACCTTCAAGATTAGGTATATATCCAACTATCTAACATTTCAATATAATAAAATCAATGTTATATCACTTAATCTATTGATCATATTACAACTTAATCAATAAAATTCATTCAAAATTAAAGAGTTAAACAAACATGCAATTTATCACTAATCAGTGATAAATTGATTTTTTTTTCCTAACTATCTTTATTCATAAGTAATAATTTAAACAAAATTGACCAAAAAGAAATAATTCTGTATAAATATATCATTATTTAATCAAATTAAAATATACATCATAAATAATTTAAAGGAAATGTTATGAAATTAAAAAAAAAAGGAAAAAGAAGAAAAAACAGTGAAAAGAAATCATAAGAAGTCGTTTGTTTATTTATTTGTATGTTTGTTTATTTGTTTGTTTGCTTGTTTGTTTTTGATAAGATTTACTCGATTCTCAATAATGACACGTATAATTTGATAACATGATGCATATATATATAATAGTTATATATACATTCAATCAACAAACTTATAATTGTTATTATTTCTTTTTGATTATTTAATTCAATTAATAACCTTCTAATTTTCCATATGGATGACTTGTTGGTGAATAATTCGATTCATCATCTGTTGTATCATCATTATTTTCAAATGTTATATTTGCTTTCATTTCTTTTAAATCTTTATATTTTTCATGACCATGTAATTTAGAATTAAGATTAAATTTAGCACGACCATGTGTATTTTTATAATGTTTTACTTGTCCTTCTGTATCATAAGTAGAAAAATATTTTGGTTTACCATATTTTGTTGATACACTACCTTTATGAAATGTTGTTGTTAATGCATAATCAGATCCTTGATATGTATCAGTAAAACCAAATAATTCACCAACTGATTTTATATGTTTTTCACCATGTTTTTGATGAATATGTTTAGCTTCACCTTCTATAAGATATTTTCTTTTAAGATGCATTTTTTTAGGTTTTTTATTAGTATATATTTTAGATGGATAATAATTACCATGTTTTCTACGATTATGACCATAATAATAACGGTTATTAATATTATTATTACCAACATAACGTTTACCTTTATTGTTATTATTATCATAATTATTATAATAATAATGGTTGCTAGGGCTATATTCATTATTTAATTGTCTACGATAATTATTTGGATATATTTCATAATTATATTGAATAGTCATAGTAACTGATATAATGATTATTAAACAAACATATAAAATCTTCATTATGATTTAATGTAAACACAAATGTGAAATAACTTCGTCTTTTCTCTTTTTTTTTGTTTTTTTTTTCAAATAAGGTATATTTATATAGTGAACTTTTAATTGATATAAAATTAAGTACATCAATTAAATAACTGATATTCTATAGACGAAAAAGATTAAGTGAACTTTAATGAAGGAAGGAAAAAAAATAAATAAAATACAAGTGCAAATTAAGCGGTACAATCATTAAAATAATGGTCAGATTTAAGCATTATACATTTAGTTGAATGAGGATTTATGAAGATTGTAGTAATTTATTAGTGAAATTCGTGATTTGATTTAAGTTAGATCACCAATGAAAACCTAGGAAGTACTGGATGACTGTTTCGTCATGGTATGGGACTCTTCAGTAGTGTACACCCAAAATCCCTGACGTGGGAGTCGAACCCAAGACCTTCGGTCTCGCATGTGAACGCTTAAACTCTTGATGAGTGAGCCTGCATCTGTCAATGTCTAACTTCAGTTGATCCATGAGCTTGCGCAATGTTTCATTCATTGCCTGAGATGGATAACTGTTTCACACCTGACACAAATTTGAATCCACTGATCATGCCTTCTCACTAGGACTCCAGGAAATCCATCTTGAAGTTGGTCGATTATCGGAAGTTTAACTAAATCGTTTGTTTATCAGAATAAATTAATTTTATATGCAGTAAAGGATCAAAAACTTTAAAAGTGACTGACTTGACTCACTTACTAGGCACAGACACGTGTACCTAACTTTCAGTCACAATCTGAATGTGTGAGGTTATAATCCTATCTGGCCAGATAAACCGAGATAGGTGGAACAGATTTAGATCATGTAACATAATGCTTGAAAATCAAATGCCTTCACTAGTTACCCACCTCTCCCTTTCCTCTGAAAGACATGCGTCTAATGTAATATTTAATACACGTGAGCATTGGAAATTTATCTGGGATGTACCTGAATCCAACGAACCCTAAATAATAAAAAATCTGTCGTTAACTTGATCAATGAAAATGAACTGCTAACAAGAATCTAATAAATTGTTTTAAACTTACTGTCTTTAGATCTAGTGTTAATCATGGTAAAATATAACTGATCAGTTAGCAAGCTTTAGCTGAATTTGGAAAGCTTCATCATGTATTTGTTATATTTATGAAACAATCATCAATGATTATACAGGGTAATGGAAACAGCTAAATTCTACCTTTAAATCTCTCTGATAGTGTTTACAATATTGAGTAAAAGTCAAGAAAATCAATATCAGAGTATATGCTAAACCTCAGAACATTTTACTGTATAACAACTGAAACTGTTACGCATTATCAAATTAATCAAACATTAATTACTATAGAAGAAACTAAAATTCAGTTGTCTTATTTAACAACAGACAAACATTCTAGTTTGATTAGTCCAAATATTCCTTTTGAATCGAGGGCAAGTAAAAAGACAAATAGAGTGAAGAAACTTCCATTCGACTAGTTTCTCATCATATATATATATATATATATATATACTTATAATGTTCGTAATATAAGGTGATATCGAGGCACTCTGTAGGGGATTCACATATACCAATAAGAGACTGATCAATTACAGTCCTAAACACCGTAGGAGAAGATTCAAACAACCAATACAAAAATAAATTAAGCTTCACCCCATTGCACAAGCTAGTGGCTATCGGGATTCAGTAGCTAAATTATTAATGCGGTGGCGTTTCAAGCCAGTACTGGGTTCGAGTCCCGGACTGGAATGCAGGCACATCCAGCTGATGAGTCCCAAATAGTGTGAAACAGGCGTCGTGAATTTCATCTCTAGCTACCATCCATCTCTGCTTATAATGGAATTGAATGGCTTCCAGATTACAAATTATTTAATAAGATAAGTCAGTTTTTAGACGTTTTGTGATGGCCAAGTGAAGGATACTGGCATGAAAATGTATATCCCTTTAATCCTATTACATTTATTTGAATTGCTGCTTCACCATGATGATACATATTCACGCCTAACTAATTACACTATTATTAGCATGTTAAGCTGATGATAATTTTGCCATTAAAATAGTATTGGTTGTAAGCAGCTGATGAGAACCTAAAGTAGTATAATTAATTGGTTTTATTCTGTTCAATCCATTATTAATAATAAGAATAAATGATGATAGTGAAATATCGCAAACGGATTCAAGTTAAAATTATCAATCATTGGATGCCAAGTTGATGATCCATAGACTAAACACTTTTAACGAAACCTGAAGGTCGTGAGTTTTATCGCCAGCAATAAAGAAGATGCATTATTCTGAGGAACCTCATACCGGTCCCTGGTTTTCATTGGTTATTTAACTAAGGTCAGTTTATGGTGTACACTATGAAATTTACCAATCTCCATAACACTGTTAGAACAAACGTTGTTTACAAAAAAAGTCACAGAATCAATATTATTGTACATTCTTGACTAACAAATAATCTACGAAATCGCGCCACCTTACACCATTGTCTTCAGTGAGCTGATATCTCCCAACAGACCTGGTTGAACTCCACTCCGTTGGATGCTGGCTCAGTGGTCTAGAGGCTAAGCGCTCACACGAAAGACTGATAGATCCTGGGTTCGAATCTCACGGGGGCGGGATTGTGGATGCGCACTGCTGAGGAGTCCCGTAGTAGGACGAAACAGCCGTCCAGTGCTTTCAGATTTTCCACGGTGATCATGCTTCAATTGACTCATGATTTCAACTATTGAACTTACTAAAATCTCCACAAAACCCCTTCTGATAACACATAATTTTTTCCGAGGATTTTGAAAAGAAACTGGGAACACTTGATAAATCTGCAAAATTTGTTTTTATTCAAGTCTATAGTGAATTGAAATTAAGCTGTTTAAGTGAAAATATTTGACAATTTTCTCCGATTTAAATACTATTTATTTACTGTTATGGTCATACTTGATACACTTGATAGATACATTTTATACAGGATGTATCCATCTTGCTGACAAGTTATATTTATATCTTCACCAACATTATACATCAAAATGCTGAAACCGTAACTAATCAGTTAAGTGATTATGGATTTATGACAGAAGGCTTGAAAGAACCGGCTTCCATAAACGTAGGAAGTATGTTTCTCTCAAGATTAATGCGTATACCCGCTTACGGTTAGACACAACTTCCGATATAACACTTATTAACAATTTAAGCGAAACAGTTGCAGTCATGCATGATCCGCCCAGTAGTCCAGTAATGTCCATTTCAGAGATATGCTATGTGGTAGGTTCAAATCCCATTATTTCCGAGAAATATCTTAAATAAAGTCACATTAATTGTAACTTGGAATATCAGGATCTAACATTATTTTGTGGGGGAGGACAAAGTCAAAAAATTTAAACTCAGGATCTAAGCTTCAGAAAAAATGGGGAGAGATGGTATGACGGGATCAAAAATTACAATTACATTCTTTTAGTCATTATAATTTTTATTCAACATTGCTTCCGTTTTAATTCAATATAATAACTACTCAGTGTAGTTTTTGTTTTGTTTTCCCATATGATATTTTATTCTGTATAACATACCATATTCTTGTACTAAGTTAACATGAACTATACTCAGCATACGATTTTTTATAACCCTAAGTATTTTTTATATATGTGATTTCATCCTAATTAATAATCAAATTGTGTGTACAATCAATATATAAATGAGTGTATTTTCGACTAAGGTCATCGTGGTCGTCTTCATTGTGTCTTGGGGTTAATAAATCTTCATATATACCAGTCTTTGTGTTCTTACTTTCGCGTTGTGGGAATAATGGTGGTTCATCGCTTTCACAAATTAAAGTGATAAGTGATTCCGACATATTAATCAGAGATGCTTAGAAATAACAATTAGCGTTCAATCAAAAGACATATCAGTGGCGACAGGGGAAAACTACAATGAATATTTCTTTGGAGCAACTAGAAGTCTATATGGAACGTCAAGAGAAGAGGTTTGAACAGTCTCAAATCAGAATCACGGAAGCCCTTATGCAGAAAATGTCCCTATTCCAGCAATACCCCGCTTCTAGTAAATTTCAAGTATCGCATACTGATTCAGTCACTAACGCAATTCATGAATTTATTTTATTGGTGTCGCAGGTGTTACTTTTGACTTTTGCTTCAAGAAATATGAAGATGTGTTCCATGTTGATCTCTGCAGACTGGACAACACCTCAGAAGACAGAAGACTTGGGACGATGAATGATTAACGCTGTAGTAACTTTATTCTTCCAAAGTACCCACGGGACTTCAGTTTCGCCCCCAAATGCCCTGGTACGTCCGAGAGCGGGGAGAGTAAGCTCTCTCTCTCGAAATGCTCTCAAGTGGCTAAGTGCATACAACCACTGCCAGGGAAGTCCTACTCACTGCCTTCTCGTGGCGGGGATGTTGCTTACGAAATTGAAAGGACAAAAAGCGAAAGTCCGGTGCATTAACAGAGTCAGTAGATACGGAGGACCTGCCTAGGGGAGTTGGAAAACCCTGATTTCGAATCAATGATGTACATGGGCTACAGAATCATAAAAAACAAATAGCGTATGAACCAATTGTTGGTCACCGGTAACCATGGGACTGCATCTCCTGGCTCTCTGAGAAAACCACCTGCTTCGATTTGGGCTGCCAGGCTGTATCCCAGTCCTCACATAAATCGTATGAATTATGTGGCACATATCTGTTTGGTGCCTTATTGTACCAATGTTTATGTGTTTAAATAAATAAATAAATTTGGTGAAACAATTAAAACACTGTCTCAAAAACCAATGCTTGAAGATAACGAAAGAACCAAGAGATGACTGAGTGAAACATGTAAGAATTATAAACTAAGAATGTGAGAGGTTTAAAAATATCATTGTACTACATATTCCATGAAAGGGTACAAAGAACGTTATTACAAAACCCGAAAACACCATCAACCGAAAGTGTATTCTAAAAGATTCAAGCTGCAAACAATCAAAGTAACGACAAATCTTAACAAAGGCAAAAAGTTATTTTATCATGATTTATTTAAACATTTTTTTAAAAAAAAAATAGTTCTCTTATTGTTATCATACACTCTCTTATGATTTACATGTACTTTAAATGAAACAAGTACATTTATTTTTTTAGAAAACAAAAGAGAGAAAAAGAGGGAGAAAAAAAAGAGAAGAAAATATCTAAATAACTCATTACTTAACTATGCACTCAAATTATTTAGTATAATTTCTTCAATAATAACGTAATATCATGCACTTATTTATATTTTCTCTTTGAAAAGAAAAACTATATAAAACGTTGATTGAGCTATCAATGAATTAAAAAGAAAATCTCCAATTACGTAACACTAGAAATTTTAAAAAATAAACAAAACAAAAACAAAACAAAAACAATGAAAAGTGTTATTTCATTATATTTATTAGTAATGTTATCATATACAATAGGCGGTGATTCAATCACTCCATATTCAAATGATAATTATATTCCATATAATGATAATAAAAATTATCAAAATAATTATAATGATTATAATTATAATAGTGGAGATAAAAATTATGGTAATGATAATCATGGTAATGTACATACACATGGGAAATTTATAGCATATGGTAATGCAGATAAAGGTTTAAAATATCATCAAATTACATATTTTCATAAAGGTAGTAAATATCAAAAGAAATTTGTTAATTATGATACAAAAGGTAAAGTACATTCATATGGTAAACAAAATGTAAAAGCTAAATTTAATATTGAAAGTAATATACATTCTAAAGGAAAATATAATGGTGGTAAATTTGATCAACTTGTTGGTTCTGGAAGTGGACAATATGGTGAAGGACAAATACCAATTGAATATGCTGCAGCTGGTAATGGTCCAACTTATAATGCTCCATCAACTTATGAGGATAATAGTAATAATAATAATTATAATGATCAAAATAGTGGAGGATCATCAGATGATAATACATATTCTAGTGGAACATACAATGATAATTATCAACAGTCATATTAATAATAAATATACAATTTTTTTTATTAATAAGTAATAAATTATTACTAGTTTGTAAAAAGGAACACATAATAATTAAAATAAATTTCTTGTTGAAAGAACAATCCGGTCTTTATTTTTTGCTTCTGATAATTATCATATACATAGTAGTGACTAGATTCAAGCGGAAATGAGAAATCAGGTGAAATTCAATCATATAGGTTATAAGAAAGGTACTTATTGAAGATAATCGAAGATAGCCTTAAAATAATGTAAATTGATTAAACTTTGATTTTTACATCAATAGATCCTGGTTTAGTGGTTTGAAGGTTTCATATTGCCATGAGAGATTAAAAGATTTGAGTTTGACTCCCGTCTGCGTGGTTATGAATATTTAACATTTAGGAATCGGTTCCTGACTTCAATAATCTTCTTATGAACGTGATAATACAGAAGAAGATCGAATTCAGTGTAATTATTAGTTTTATAATATCTATCAAGCATATTTAATAATTATGAAAAGAATTCAGTGATAAGACGTTGTCGAACGGTAATCTTTACTCGAAACAAAAAACAAATTAGAACTAGTTACACAAGAATTTAGTGGAGATTGTTGACTTTGTAGTTCATATCACTTACTGATCCTGATTACAGAATAAGTGAAACACAAGAATCATTGGATTCCTATTTTTTTCCTAAAATAGAACTAACAAACAGTTTCATCCACAGTCACAATCGGAGTTCAAACCTAGGACTTTTGAATCCGATTGAAAATGTTTAACCTGTAGATCACTAAGTTATCATACAATCGTTTGCGATATTTGATAACTACCATCAAATTACATCGGTGGATAACTACTGAATTATGATCGGTCGTAAGGCAACTTATCTTTTAGTCTGGCAATCACCAAAGATCGGTCGAGTACAATAGATAGAAGTTGAGTGCATTAAACGTTCTCTTCACTACTCTAGTCAGTCTGTCACGTAGTACATCACCAGCTACATCTCCATTGAATTACAGATTCAGGAAGAAAGGTTTCATACTAGCCGTTGATGTCGCTATTTTCTTATTTGTTACATGCAAGTGTTTCTTCAAGAAACCTTGTGGATAACCCATTTTAATCAACATATTATATATGAGCTCTAAGTTCTTGCTTATTGTATCGACCGAAGGTGCAATTCAATGAAGATGTAGCTGGCGATGTGCTACGTGATAGACTGACTAGAGCAACAATGAGAACGTTTAGTGCAGCCAACCTGTCGATCATACTCGACCGATCTATGGTGATTCCTCAGCCAAAGGATAAGTTACCTGGTTACGCCACTTCTATATGTATCTACAAATTCAGCTGCTCCTGTGGAGAAAGCTGTATTGGGCTCACTACCAGACAACTGAACCAAAGAGTTAGTGAACATATCCCTTTGCCAAGATAATACACAGCTTGGTTCTATCACACTTCATCGATAGCGGTCATGTAGTAGACAGAAATAAGTCATTTAAAGTTATTTATCGTATTCCTACTAGTTTTCGTTATGGGATTCGATCTCGCCTCTTACACGTAGCAGATGCTATAGAGATTCAAGCTAACGATCCACGTCTTTATGTTCGTAAGAAATCTGTAATACCTTTATCTCTCCCTTGGAGTTAATTAGTGATTTTATTTATTATGATTTTCTATACTCTTTCTTCGTTTATTTTTCTTCACACCCTCCCACTATTTTCTTTTTACTCAAATATGTTTCACGGTTCAATTATCTGAACACTTGTTGTTACGTAATCTTATAATCTTTCTATGAATGATATTACAGTGTCTATATTTTTCTAATAATTGACCTATTTCCTATTATGTTACATTGATTTGAGCCTTTATTATTCTTATCAAAACTAGTACACTTGTCATTACACTACCAATTTGTACTGTACACTCATTTATGTAATCTGTTCCACTGTTATCATTGACTCATAAACTACCTTGATTAGTTTAATAATTTCGTATACACATATAAATATTGCTGTATATTAGAGTAAAACCTGATTAGGATCTAATCGAAAACAATATTGTTCGCTTATATCTATGTTGTTCTAAATTTACAATACTTAGAACTTTTACTTACTCAAATAAAATTACCGTCAATCATATAGAAATTCTTTCGTTCTTTAAGGTTTTGATTTGAATAATTAAACAGCACAAATAAATTTTCAGTACTAGAAATTCTATTTACTCAAAAGTGTCATCTCATTATTTCATTGTAAAAATTCAAGCTGTACAAACTAGCAACATAACATTTTGTGGGAATAAAATACAGACATGCTTCATTACTAAATTCACTTGGTGTTGTTTTACTTGTATCTTCCCAATGTTATTTAGGACTGCAATTGATCAGTCTCTTATTGGCATATGTGCATCCTTTGCGGATTTCCTCGATATAGCCTTAAGTCACAAGCTTTTTAAGCAAAGATTAATAGTGACTAAAAGTGGAATCCAGGACGCACGATTCGTTCTATTTGAGAATCGTCAGTTTGATATACCTGAATCTCAGAGTTAGTGTTCAGTCCGGGATTCGGACCCAGTATCGTTCGCTTCAAACGCCGTCGTGTTATCCACTTAGTTACTCAGTTTTGATAACCAACTGCTTGTGCAATGGGGTGAAGTTTAAATTCACTTGGTATTGTTTCACTTGTATCTTCCCATTGTTATTTAGGACTACGATTCATCAGTCTCTTGTTGGTATATGTGCATACTGTGCGTATTGTCTCTATATAGCCCTAAATCATAAGCTTTTTAAGCAGGGATTCCACTGCTAGCCACTATCCATCTTTGCTTAAAATACTTCATCAATGTTCTTTTTAAATAGAATTTATATTCATTGATTGCTTGACATGATTCGACTTTCAGTGGCAATTTATTCAATGCCGCAAAAAATTTAAATACCAACTAGAATTTGTTCAATACTTACGAGTGAGTTATGTAATTTCTGATTGTTTCACTTGATCAAGCCCTGTTAGGTGTTAGCAATGGCTTTAGATTGATAAGGATATCATTTCTAACTAATAGTGAATATTTTCAAATTTGTTTAAAATTTAAATGTAAAGTTTTCACTTCTCTATTTTCAATTACCGTGTCCTCTTTGAAATGACGAAGAATAATTGAACTTAAGGTGGTTGATGTGATAGTGTGTTTTTTAAGCTAGTTAGTTTAATTACAAAACCTTCACTGACGTTCTGAGTAATATCATGAACTCAGTAAGCTTTTTACGTATTCCATAAACTATCTTTCAATTCGTTCTTATAATCCGTACGAAAATTGTCAGTCAACCATATATTTGTAGGTCAACCGAATGAGAAAATCCACAGAAATATAAGAATAAATGCTGATAACGAAAGTGACAAAGGTAAAATATAGGTCATATTATCCTGAATGACAATGAAATCTTCCCAATAGAACCATTTATTTAGCTTTAGAGGTTAGGCAGAAGCATCTTCACTTCCTCTGTCATGACTAGTATTATTGCTTTATTTTTTAGAATTTCTTTGCGTGTGTAATTAGTTATTTTGGTAAGTGGATTATTTTAAATAAATATATATTATGTCTAGAGATGACATAGTGTTATCTGTTGAATCCATAGTTTTTACTACATCCACGAGTCCAATTACGTCATTAATACTGCGTTGCAATAAGTCTTGGTGTAATGATTCGAACAATTTCATTAACTATTTTCCTGTTGAGTGATATAGTGATTCTAACGTACATAAAGGAAACCCTGGTTTTTAAAATTCGGGTAGATCATATAGTTGTGGAGTATGTCTTTATGAAGGTTTTAGTACATTATAGGTAGATTGATAAATTGTAATGTCGTGGTTAGCTGACACTTGGACTTTTCAGTCAGGCCCTTGCATTATCCAAATCTTAAGAACTTAGTTTGATCATTTGCCAGAAGATTCATCTTTACCATTTTAATAAACTTGTTTGAAATTACAATATCTGATCTTTTATTAGGCTTCGTGACTATTGAGGTCTTTTAATTTTAGTTTTCTTATGGGTTCTCAATGTTTTCTAGTCAATATACTATCTATCTGGTGGTGGTGGTTGCTTTTAAAATAGTTACAAAAGTCAATCAGTGTGCTCTTAAATCTTTATAATTCAACCTTTGTTAGAACTATCAATTCTTATGTCTGGATAAACAGATTCCGAAGCTGAAAATTTGTCTTTAAGTGAATCATATATCTAAATCTTACCAAAATTTTTTAATTCTAATGGTAAAACATCTAGTTCATCTTTAATTGAATTAACAGAAGAGTCGGTAAAAATGTTATTAGTTACAGTCGTCAGTATAATGAGATTGAAATGTTTAATTGTCTAACCCTTCAAATAAATCAATATTTTACTTGTTTCTCCCCGTCTTTTTGCACTACTAGAATATATGTCAAATGAATCACTTTAATTTTTGGAAAGATCTAACCTAACCTTTGTGTAATACTCCTTTCTATATCAATGAAATATGTTTGATGAAATTCAATTCGGTTTGAAATGAATCTTTTCTGCAACATGACATTAGTTTCGACTTGACATCGACGAAGAGATTTGAATTATTGTTTAAGTTAACGGTGACTCATGGTGAAGTTATGAATAAAATACACAACAAGGTCGAAGAAATAATAGTATATTCTTTTGAAGAAATCTCAATTTAAGGTTGTGGAGATTGTTGAATTCCATTGAAAATAGACTACCATCGGGAACCTGGGAGCACTGAACGGCCACTTCGTCTTAGTACAGTTCTCCTCACAAGTGCTCAACACGATCCCGTACTCACCATTCAAACCCAGGACATTCAGTCTCACATGGGAATTCCTAACCTTTAGACCAATAAGCTAGCATCCAACGGTGCTAATGTTTGACCTCAACCAATCCACGAAATTGCACAACTGTCTTCCATTGTCTTCGGTGAGTAACTGCCTCACACCCGACACGGATTAAACTCCAGTGGTCACAGCTTCTCACTAGAACTCCGAGAATTTTCTCACGAATCTAGTCACTAGTCAGTACACGTGGTTATGGAGAAGTCGTGATCAACGGAGTACAACCATGTCGGGTGTAAGGTATATACTCACGTGAAACAATAAAAGACTGTCGCTCAACATCGTTGATTGCTTGAACTTAAAAAAAACAATAACCTCTTATTGAATAATTACTCATGTTTACGATTGTTCGTCCAGTTTTAGTCATCCATACATCATTATCAAATCAATAAACCTAATTCAAACCTTTATGTAATATAAATAACAAGATCTAATTTGTACACTCATCTCCGAACCATATTTCATGTGTGATAGATAGTGGTAAAACTTAATTCCTCAAACTAAAAGTGGTTCAAACCTATAACGTATTGATTGAAGTTCGAATTGTCTACAGACCACCCTCTTAATATAATAATCACACCATCTTATTACATATCAAATGTAAAAACTATCTGTTGATTTAAAATAGATGATACATAATAAGATGAATCGAAAAACATTAATAGCCTTCAGTTTTAATAAATCAATGAATTTTAAGCGTAACCAAAAAATGAAGCATTGAGGTAACATAAAAAAATACACAAGTCATCTTTCAGATCAGTTTTTTCTTCTTCTTTTTTCTACTCACTTCAAATTATATCAAAAGAATATCTGTCAAATAATAGACCTAAATATTCAGCTTATGGATAAATAAAAATACGGTATTGAAGTGTTATCTTAAAATAATGTAGAGATAATGCATAACAACAAAATATACGATTACTGTTACAAATGAAAATTTCAAGGATCTACATAATGTACAATAACAATGCATAATATTTATTTATTCAACTAAGTGGAATATCTCTGTATCATCTTTTACCTTGATAAACAATTAAGAAGACAAATGATATATTATATACTTTATGAATAGTAAAAGGATGAATAGCAGTAACATATTACGTAACTTAAAATATGGATACATAATCTTATGATATTATATTATTAATATATCACCTTAGAGAAAAATAAATAATGTTCTTATATACGAAGTTTTGTGTCAAAAGCTAAATTCATCATTACCAGGTTTCATAGTAGTACGAGGTGATGGATTTTCTCGTCTTTCCTTACTGTTTTCTTTACTGTTATCCGTATACTCATCATAGTTATTTGGTTTCACTCGGTAATATTGATAATCATAATTTGTATGTGGTGGATGACTATTCCAATGATTTAATATATAGTCCTGATATCTGTATGTATCTCTTTCGTGTTTTTGATAAGCATTATAACCAGGTGACTGTGTTTGATGATTACCATTATCTGGAGTTCGATGATTATCATTACCTCCAACATTGTAATTATTGTTATGATAAACATTGTTATAATCATCAGGATAGTTACCATCATAATTATTTCCTTCATTAGTTTCATATTGATCATGGGGATTTGGAGGGTATCTATAGTCAGAGTGTTCTTCATATCCTTCTGGTTCTTTAGTGTCATCATATTCATGATGTGAATGATCTTCATAATTATAATCATAGTTGTTATAACCATCATTCGAATAATAATCATATTCATTCCCGTTATTATAATCATTATACGGCGAGTATTCATCATAATCTTCATAGTTTTCATGTGAATAATAATCATTATGTCTATCCGAACTTGGATAAAATTCTCTATAGAAATAATCTCTCTCATTACTAGAAATTAATGTTACCAATGTGGAAAAATATAAAAACCAAACAAATTTCATCATTTCACTATATTCGAACAGAAATTTTATTTACTTAATAAATTAATAAGGTTAATAATAGTAATAATAATAAACAATAATAATAATAGTAATAATAATAAACTCAATAGACTATTTAAAGTTCAACTCTTTTATTTCATTTGTATTATGCAATGATATATTCGTAAATAAATAAATTGAATCTACGTAACAATTAAATTACATTGCACTGAGATTTGAATAAATTACATATTTTCATTCATTGAGATCAATATGATTAATTAAAACAAAATATACATGGGAATAGTAATTTGTGATCTAGTTTAGTATATACCTTAAATTGATAATATAAAGTATTAAGCTTATATTAATAAGTCATGATTATTCTAATAATAAATCTATTGATGTAGATAAAATGACTTCCTAGTTGGGCGCCAACAAAGAGTACAGGTGAATTTCATGTTGTCGAACTGGGAAACTGTGGTTATTCGTGGAGTGCCTCAGTGTAAAGTTTCGGGGCCAATGCTATTCCTCTTATATGTAGATAACTTTTCTTGATATGTGCCGACGATGTCAAGATATGGAGAGCGATACGATTTAAGGGTAATAGTTTAAAACTTCAAAATGATCTGGAGAAATTATTTGAATGGGCTCAAACCTGGTAGTTGCCGATTAATACTTACAAGTGTATTGTGATGCATATCGGTCATCGAGGTACAGATACATACATGATGAAGAACACTGAGTCACCTGTTGTCCAGACACACAATGACTTAGGGGTCATCGTTAGCCAAGACTTAAAGACTACTGCACACTGTCGTGTAATGGCCACCAAAGGTTTTAGAACTTTGTGGTTAATACGTAGGGCCTTTAGTCATGTTGACGCTAAAATATTTTTAACTGTATAAAGTGTTCATGAGTCCTAAACTTGGTTACTACATACAAGCGGCTAGCCCCTGCTTAAAAAAGACAGTGGGCTTTTGGAAAAGATTCAGGGAACAGCGACTAAGCTGATTCCCGGAATAGCAAAGCTCCTATATGATGCTCGACTTAACAAGCTAAACCTATTCCCGTTGTCATATCGAAGAACTAGGGGCGACTTGGTTACAGTTTTTGAATTGCTTAATGATAAATTTGTACCTGATATGCCCTCATTTTTCTTGTCTTCCAAAACAGAATTTACGAAGACACTCCAAAACATTTTACAAGCCCAGAACAAATTACTTGTCAGCTGACTATCGACTTTTCCATAGAATCATCAACGAGTGGAGTTCATTAGGTCAGCACGTGGTTGAGGCTCCATCCGTCGACTCTTTCAAAAGAAAGTTGGATCAACTGAGAGACCATCATTGCCAGGACTAAGACAGGCAATCAAGTCCCCTGTCCTTTCCAAACTGAAGCATATTATAAGTTTTGTCATACTATTGTTTTGATTAAATTATATATCCTTCCAATGAGTTCTACATCCAATAGAGTAAGCATCATCATCACTCATAACTAAAATCAAGTCTCCTTTGAATACCCATGTCATTTGAGTGGCACTTTGCAATATTATATTTCGAAAAGCGACTGAAGAAAAGGAGCATCTGCTTCCTATGCGAACGTGAAATTGTAGTAGAAACGAACACATGTGAGTACAGTGAACTATATTTTTAGCGTAAAATTACAGAGTAACTTGGTAAAACAGAAAAAACATACTCCAATACTTCATTTGCAAAATGTTGATCAATTGTCTTAGACTTCATTGTTCTTGCATTTCCATACCAATTGATTTCTGTTTCTGTCCTTTCCTCTTTAATATTCTCAACCTTCTGCTGCCAGACGTTCTATTATTGACTAGTGTCATATACTACTTATATCGACGTAAGTAGAATACACCACAAAATTACTGTTTTAAACACACTTTTAACAGTAATTCTGAGACAAAGCATTCCTTCTTCTTACATTTATTATTATGATTATGATATTTTGTAAAAGTACCAAACAAACTGAGTCAATGTTAACTAAGTGCAAATTACAATTACAGATTCGAATGTAAGCTGAAAAAACCTATGAAATCCACAAAAAAGACGCCCCACGATTGTTATCGATTGAATACAGAATTGAGCCAATTCATCCAGGAACTTCTCGTTAGATAGTACGTAAGATGGTGCTAGATTTTGACGAAATTTAACATCGAATAACATTAATATGAATGTTTTATACAACTTCCTATCCACTGTTTTAGAATCCAAGAATGTTTTTCATCTATACTAAGTTTTAAAGTCCTAAAATAACAAATTTTGTCACTGAATAAAAGTAAAGAGAATCCAGCGAAGAAAATTTTCTTTTCGACGACATTATATACGTAGGCTGTACATTCGTATTTATAGTTATATGGAAAATATATGTCTATAGAAGGATAGAAAAGATTACATCATAAATTGATTCGATACTTCATATAAGTATAAATACAAATGTGTAGTTTAAATAAATTATTTCGTCGGAAAGAAAATTTTCTTGGCTTAATTCTCGTTATTTTAAACTATTGATTTATTTCGTATTCAACACTTGAAGCTTAGGAACCAGTTCAAATGTTTATACTATTTAACTTTAATGAGAAGCTGTGACCACTGGAGTTCAATCTGTGTTGGGTTTGAGGTAGTTACTTACCGAATACAATGAAAGATGACTGTGCCATTTCGCGGATTAGTTGACGTCAAACATCAACACCGTTGGATGCTAGCTTATCGGTCTAAAGGTTAAGAATTCTCATATGAGACTGAATGTCCTGGGTTTGAATGGTGAGTACGGGATCGTGTTGAGCACTTGTGAGGAGAACTGTACTAAGACGAAATGGCCGTCCAGTATTCCTACGTTTTCAATGGTGGTCTAACATTGATCGACTCATGCTCTCATTCAAAAACCCAAGAATCTCCACAACCCCAACTTTACCTAGTATTCTAAATTGAAACAGAAATTTATAAAATACAATACTTAACAAAATGATTGTCCTGATGGAATTCAACAGTGAAAATACTACAATTTTCATACTGATAATTGTGATTACTATCAGAAGGGGTTTTGTGGAGATTGTAGTAATTTCAATGGTTAAGATCATGAGTCAGTTGAAGCTAGACCAGTGGAGTTCAACCAGGTCTGATGTGAGATAGTAACTCACTGAAGACAATGATGGAAGTGTCGCTCAATTTCGTGGATTTGTTGAAGTTAGACATTAACACCGTTGGATGCCGTATCAGTGGTCTAGTGGTTAAGTGCTCGCGTGCGAAACCAGTAGGTCCTGGGTTCTAATCTCACACAGGGCGGAGTCATGGATGCGCACTGCTGAGGAGTCCCATAATAGGACGGAACGGCCGTTCAGTGCTTTCAGGTTTTCCATGGTGGTCTAGCTTCAACTGACTCATGATCTTAACCATTAATAATTGTAAGAATATATTTGTAAATGAATACAGTTGACCTTTTAAAAAAGTACACTGATCAATTAGTTAATAGTAATTATTTCTCATAAAGTCTTGTCATCATTAATAAAATGTAACATAACTTAGTAGTAAATTATAACCATTCAAATGATAATTCTAGTTTGTTTACTAAAGTGCATACTATTTCAAGAAACGTTTCACATATATATATATATATATATATATATATATATATATATATATATATATATATATATCGCTGTAATTAAATTAAACACCGAATATGTTTTATTCAGTGTTCAATATTCGATATAAAAAACGGATAGTTTACTGTTTATTCCGATTGTAGAGGTAATCAGCTGTAATCAGAATAATCAAAGAATGAAAATATAAGATGAATATTTAAGTGATAAAATGGTTTACTTACTTACCCTTGTTACTCCTTATGGAGGAGCATGATAATTATAAATTAATATTACGCTTGTATAAAAATGTAGTTAGAATGGGATAACTGCGAAATATTTTTAATAGAATGTTGAGTAATTATATTTAAGTGTTAAGGTACAACGGGCTAACTGCTTCATATTTAATCCTTAATCTCGGATATAAATTAACTTTTCAAATAATCTAAGTTTTTAAGAATAAAATATCAGAGATTTCATGTTTGTATTCTCTTAAAATAGTGTCACTCTTGACATAGTAAATAGAATAGCCGGTTATCATATTTGGTATATTTTCATTAAAATATATGTCTCTAAAACTTTACCTGGGGCCCATCTGGGGCTATTGCCGGCCCCGAGCCCGGATAAAGGAGGAGGGTTGGGCATGAAGTTTGCGACCCCATCCCGTAGAAGACTAACTCGCTAAAATGTGTCAACCAGAAAAAGTGAAAGTAATATGTTGTTTCTCTATGATTATTCTTAAGAAGTCTTATCTTCAGCTAGAAGTTTAGATTGCCGCTTCCCAATTAATTACAATATAGGTGCTTCATTCAATCTCATTGAAACGAATAATTTAAATCTCAGATGATTTCTGACTTGATGATTTAATTATCACATGATTACATATATATATATATATATATATATATATATATATATATATATATATATATATATATATATATATATATATATATATATATATATATATATATATATATATATATATATATATGCTATTCAATGTTTTGACTCTCATAAATTAACACTTCATCAAAAGAAACGTTCCGAAAATGAATAGTTTACATTTCTATCTGCTAGGAGTTGTTTTACATGTATCCAGTCATAGATTTGTTTACAACATAACACATATATTTATGTCTTTTAGAAATGATTCTTATAATACATCTGAGAATTTAAATGGGGAACAATTGTTTAAACATGTTAATACGTCGTTTCTAAATTCTTTGCCAAAAGACCAGAATACAAACTTTTCATTAGATGTTGAACTAAAAATCAACACAGAAAATAGAACGATTAATTTACATTTGAATGATTATGAAACGAATTTTAATACTGAGAAAATGAATTTTTCAAATATTCCATGGTCTCAATTGAATCTTTCCAGTTTACCATTTATGATGAACGAATCTGATTATCAACAACATGAAAAAAATGTTGAATTTAAAAGTCAACAGTTGAAAACAAAACTCGAAGAAGTAGCTAATATTAGTGATCACATCGAAAAGTTTCTTTTTGCACCAAATATAACAACTAATTGGTTAATTATATGATAGAACACATATTGAAATAATTATGAAAGCTGCTTCACTATTATTATCATTAAGAGGAGAAATGTAATGCTGTACAATAATTATATTCATTTACCAAAAATGAATAGAAACCTTTAAGATCTGAATAATTGTTTTTTATATCGGTTTCTAATATTGGAATACAGAAACTAAGTTAAGCGAACTGTATATACAAGATATGAGACCTGATTTGAGTTAAACTGCTGATCATTATCAATTTATAACAAGACTAACATCATTTACTCAATGCTTAGTCTTAACAATGTCACTTTCATTAGTGATATAAGTGCAATAATCCACGGTTTTTACTAGTCCATTGTTATTTGGAATAGTTTTATCTGCCATAATTCATATGACTGACTCTAGACTGATATTTGGTAGTTAAATTCCAAGTTTAGGCTTATTGAGGTCTCGTAAGAAGAACAATTCTTCACAAGTATAAGTTGGCTTAAAATGACAAACGCTTTGCTTGTAAAATGTCACCTATTAAGAAAATTGTATTCTGCCGAATTAATTTGCTTGAAGTGTTTGCTTATACCGTAATTAGCTTGCATAAAAGCTGTCCAGTCAACAAACACTAGAAATGCTGAGGCTGGACATAAAGGTACTTTTTAGTGGTGGAAAATCAGTTTATAAGGTCGCAAATCTTTATTGATGTCTTTGAAGTATAGCTCTTAAATATTTGGGGATCATCGAGGTAGCAATTCTAACGTTAGATGCAGAGTGATAGGTAATTAATGCAAATAAATTGATAAGTGATGGATTTTTATCGACTGTTACGGTTGAGACATGTATTATATACGCCCACCCACAAACCACCTAGATGCATGACGATGGCTGATGTAGGAGTACGTTGGAAGTAAGCTAAGAGTATGTAACTGAAGTGTGGAGTCAGTTCACCAAATAGCCGACTGATAGTCTTAGCCATCTTGATAGATACAGATTACCTGGCTGTGCTCTGTATGATAACCACTGTCACTGGTTGAAAATTTTATGATTCACTCAATATAGCGCTGATGCATTCAGGTTCTTGAATCTCAGTACATATTCATACAAACATTTGAACCCCGTCTATTAAATCGTATTTCCGCGGTTTGATCTTTCTTTTTATCACTGTTTCTACATTATTTTGATCTATTTTGTTAGTTTCATCCTATCATGCTTATCTAATATGGTAACAAATAAGCACTTATGATATCTTACAGTCTATCAGTCAACTATCCTAATTATAAAACTTTTTCATAAAATTCAATAAAACTCAATAGACTATGTAAAGTTCAACTCTTTTATTTCATTTGTATTATGCAATGATATATTCGTAAATAAATAAATTGAATCTACGTAACAATTAAATTACATTGCACTGAGATTTGAATAAATTACATATTTTCATTCATTGAGATCAATATGATTAATTAAAACAAATTACACAAGTGAATAGCAATTTAGTCTGTGAATGTAGTTGTGTCTATTTTACAGTTTAATCGGATACATTCTTTAGATAGACAGTATAGAAACTACTTGACCATAATTATCTACGTTTACATAATTTAACTGGTTAATTGTATTAGCAGAATTATTAATTAAATAGACTCGAATCGCATCTCGTTTCAAAATATTAAAATACTTCTGTTATTATTTAGTACAAGTTTTAAGAACCAGACTTGATTCGAAAAGTATCTTATTATTGGGTCGTCCGATGATGTATTACTGTACTGATATTTCATAAGTATAAATGCATTCAGTTAAAAATGCAACAGTCAATGGGATCTGACAATAATGTTCATATACATATGAAATTTTAGACTACGATTCTAAATAGTTTAAGTTCTTTTTGTCAATTTTAAAATTTGGCAATGACCTGTAAGTATGTTTGATTACATATTAGATATACGTAATGGTACTAAGAAAGTAGAACTGATTATAAAAGTTCATTTTGTATGGTTTGTTTGAATATTCTCATTGATTTTTAGGATTGTAGTTGATCAGTCTTTTAATGGCATATGTGCATCCTGTACATATTTCCTAAATATCGCCTTAGATCACAAACACTGTAAGCAAAGATGAGTGGCGGCTAGCAGTGGAATCCAGGACGCACGTTTTGTTCAGTTTAAGACTCGTCAGGTTGATTTGTCTGCACCACGGAGTTGATGTTCAGTCCGGGACTCGGACCCAGAACTGTTCGCTTGAAACGCCACCACGTTATCCACTTAGCCACTGAGTCCTGATGGTCACTAACTTGTGAGGTTCAATTCATTTTGCATTATTTGTCTGAGTCTTCCCACTGATATTTAGGACTACGATTGATCATCCAGCTAACGAGTCCCAAACAGGACGTAATACTCTTCCTGGATCCCAATGGTATAATTCTGAATACAATGATGACTGACTTGATTTACCATAAAAGTTTTGGACAATTTTATCATCCTCATTTAAAAAGTCTTAGACCCAAATATTGTAAAGTACATTTCACTTAAAACTTTAATTTGTTCTAAATTCAAGAATTCCATTGATAGTTAATTATTAATTAACAAAAAAGTGATTCTTCAGGTTAACACTATACGTTAGCGAAAAAAACTGAGATTTTCGGAACTTTTTATAACGTTCATGTTAAAGGATGTGCTGCTAGTCTAAATGTATTTATTTTGCTACTAGGCTTAATTGTTTCTGTTTATATCCCCAATAAGCTCATTGTCTTGACACTACTGACAGGTACCAAACTTGGAAGAAACAATTTCCTAATGTTTCTATATTTTCAATCCTCAAACATCTGGTACCATTCCATGACAAAACCTGTCTACAAAACTTTTCTGACCTCTTCAAACTACTTCTTACATCTTTGGTCAACATTACAACATCCTTCAAATTTACAGGCTTCCCGACATTAACATATGACATAATAACACGGTTTTCAGCAATTTTAAGTACACTTTTATCAGTTATTCTGTTCATATCTTTATAAAGAAATATGGAATCTTATTTTCAATAAATGAATAATAATGTAACATCATCTCAAGTTTTTACGTCTCTTGATAGTGACGTCATCGGTATTGTCGTTGCTTGGTTTTCCTTTCCCCCTGTGTTTTCACTAGGACTTTGAGTTGTATAATTTGTTTTATTGGTTTGTTGTCTTTCTAACTCATATTGTTTACGCAAGATTTCGTCCCGATCTCTCCCTGGATAATAATCACTGTCATAATATCTATAGTTTTCATTTGGTTCATGAAATATATCATTTTCATCATCCACGTAAGATTCATCATTAAAATCATAATTATACCATCCATTATCATCTGAATATATTTCACGACTTGTGTCATTATCAAAATAATAGTTATTCGTTACATTTACTTCGTTAAATGGATCTTTTGTATCTTCGTTTGAGAAGTATGACTTTCCATAAAATGCATCAAATTCTTGAGGAAAGGTTTCATTATTGAAATCTTCAGTAGAATTAGAAGAATCATCTCCATAGGAACTGTATACAACACTTGATTTACTTTCAATAACTGTATGACGGGATAAATAAAAACTAATTTTTAATAAAATAATTACGCATTCGAAAATTATTTTGATTTTTATCTTCAACATGTTTATTTAATGCAATAAAAATCATTCAAAATGTAAATACTTTTTTTGTTGTTGTTGGAAAAATTACATTGTTCATAGTGATCTTTATATTTATGTTTAGTGCGAAATACAGTCATATGATTGTGAAAGTCCATAAAAAAGGAATTGTTTATGCCAGAAATCAATAAAATTAGATCAAATACTTTAAATTATGTTAAATTTTTATCAGCAAAGATGAATAGTGGCTAGCAGTGGAAACTAGGACACGCGTTTCGTCCTATTTGATACTCGTTAGCTGAATGTATCTATATCTCATAGTTCATGTTTACTCTGGGAATGAAACCCAGTATTGTTCGCTTCAAACGCCATCGCGTTATCCACTTAGCTACTAAGTACTGAATTTTGTTCATAATCTGATTAAACATGATCATTCTTAACAACATTGTAGCTGTAATCCAATTATTTTAAATTTACCTTCAGTGCCATTCAAAGATGTTTACTTAATATCTTGAATTAATCAAAGTCAAAAGTTTAAGCCAATAGATAGCAACTCAGTGGTGCAAAAGATAAGCGCTCACAGGGAGCCTTGAAGATATTGGATTCAATTTAAGGTTATGGATTTGTACTGCTACGTAATCCAATAATTCGACGAAACAGCTATTTACTGCCTCATGATATTCAGTGGTTGTCTGATGAAGAATAGTCTTTGATGTGAAGATTTTAACTCGTTTTTTTTCACTCATCATAAAAATGTTTACCTGGTTATTGACCAGAAGTAAATTTCTCATTTTTTGAGGAAAAATAACTTACAAATAACTTATAATTGCGCTAGAATAATTAGTGTTTTTAGAACATTAGGATATTTGATATCTCGGTTGCAAGACAATATTAATATAAATGGTTACATAATATCTATTTACAGAAAATAAATTCGGAAAACTGTCAGCTAAATTATTTCAATATATAGATATATTTAAATAGACAAATGGAATTTTATCAGTATGGGGGTTTGTGTACATTATAATATTTTTTAGTTGAATTCACAAGTCGATTTAAGCTAGACAATCATTACAAACTCGAAAGCACTGGGTGGCCGTCTCGCGCTTGTATGGGAATCTTCAGCCGTGCACGCTCACGATCCCGCACGCTGGACTCAAATCCAGGACCTCCGGTCTTGCGTGCAAACGCCTAACATCCAGACCACTAGATCGGTATTCCTATGCTGATTTATTATCTCGTTGAAGTAGTTTTGTGGAGATTGGTTTTCATGTGAGAGATCGTGAATGCGCACTGCTGAAGATTCCCGTAAAAGAATGGAACGGCCGTCTAATGCTTTTAGGTTTATAATGGTGATTTAGCTTAGATCAACTTATGAATTCAACTATGAAAATGGAATCTTGTTTACCGTCTGTATTATCGTATGCTTGGCATCATTAGCACGAATTGCAATAATAACGAATGATTTATCAGAAAACAAACTTGAACTAAGAGTAACTACCCTCGTGAGTTCATAGGTAAAGATACTTAAAAATACACAGAATGAAGAAATTCTGTATTTGAAATTGATTTTTGATAACGTGTAAATAGTTAAGAAGTTCTATATAATGACAAAATAACTGCCTATCTCCTTCACTTTCCAACAGTTTTGTAGTTAATATTACATATAAGAGACAACATTTAAACTTACTTGTAGAACAGAGTAAAGAAAATCCATTTTGAATTTGAAACCTAGGATATTGACATAACTTCGATTACTAAACTATACCATGTATTGATTGTGATGTTGTCTGAGTTTGTCTAAATCTTTCAAAATTTCATCGTTTACAACTGCATACAATATTAGAAGCTATGGCTATGCATATAATAAGACTCGAACACTGTCAATGAAAGGATTATATCCTACATTATTGTTGCTACAAAAATCGTTACACTTCTTCAACTTATATATTGGAATGTTTTTGATTCCACTGAAAATGAAATGTTATTTTGTTAATTTATTCCCGTTATTTATTTACTCTAAAGAAATGGCTTACATTAAGTCATGAAACGTCAGGAATACAATATTTATACTCATTTGGATATAACTAAAAATATATTTATTACTGACGACTTCAGTTTGTCTGAAAATAAATAAGGTCACAACTGAGATATAACAAAAAATATGCTAATCATTATATTTTTTATTCGATGCTCAACTTATTTGAAACTATCAAGTGCAACCCTGGCATCGATTCCATTGATTGATTTACAATTATCATTTCACTTAATCCTTTGAATACGTTCATTTTTTTGACAAAATAGTAAACCTACTTTAATAATGAACGTTACCCAATCTTGATTTGGATAATAAGTTTAAAGTATTTCTTCTAGCAACATATTTCACATAAACTGATCAAATATTTATATGTAAAAAAATAATAATAATAAAGGTCAACCAGACAAATTGAATGACAACTGAAGTAAAGATATTTGGGAAGATTAGTATAATTTATAACACTAAACAAAAAATCAATAATTCCGGGATAATTTGAGTTCAAGTACAAACAAACAGAAGAGAAAAAAACGAGAGAGAACTTGAAGTTTGAATGAATATAACTTCAAAAAACTTAGAGTGTTTTCTCATAACGACTTTTATGTAGAACTATAAAGAATTTAAATGTAAATATTATGTTTAAAATAGTCAAAACGATTTAAATTTAACTAATAGTGAGGTTAGACGCAGGGTATTAGGAAATGATGATAAATCAGTTGATGAGGTTGTGAATCTACATCGACTGAGATGGTTGGGCCACGTGTTACGTGTTCCTGAACACTGATTACCGCAACGCGCAATGCTGACTAGTGTTGGGGATGGTTGTAAGAAAGTTAGAGTCGGCCAGACTTAAACGTGGCATTTGTGTTTGAAGTGACTAACTTCTGACCTGAACGATGTTGGTAGATGTAGACTATCGTAAACAACGGTTGGAGACTCTGGGTGACATGGCTCAGAATCGATCAAAATGACGTTGATGTGTACACTCTCTGTCGTCCATTAAGTCGTGAGATTAAAATCACTTTATATCTTTGTTTCTAGCAACTAATCCTTTCTTCCTGTATCATATTTTTATATGCAATCTTATATATATATATATATATATATATATATATATATATATATATATATATATATTACTACGATTGAAGTACCTACTTCTATGAATTTTGTGTTCATCTTGTTGTGCTAAAGAGGTGTGGCAACTTGGACCGATGTATATATGTACTTGGTCCTACATTGCAGCTCACTGAATCAATTATTTCCCTGAAAAAGTTTGAATCGATTAGTCTAGAGAAATGTTAGGATTATCATAAATTTAAACTTGTAAACTTATTTCAAATATAATTTTCGTATTTCATTTATTTGATACAATCCATATCCAATATTTGTCCAACTATTCCATACAAATCTTATAGAAAAACAGAAAGACAGAGTGTTTTTTACTATATCTTAAACATTAAAGAAGAAAAATGCATTTGTAAAATTTTCAGTGAATAAATTTGTATTAAATCCAACATTTCGCCCAATTTCGTGGATTAGTTGAAGTTAGACATTAACACCATTGGATGCCGGCTCAGTTTTTTAGTTGATTAAGCGCCTGGCGCGAGTCTGATAGGTCCTGGATGCGCACTGCTGAGGAGTCCCGCAATAGGACGAAACGGCCGTCCAGTGCTTCTGGGTTTTCCATGGTGGTCTAGCTTCAATTGACATATGCTCTCAATTACTGATAATCTAATCTAAGCTTATTCAAGATAATATAATCAAACATCACAATTATCCAATAGAAATAAGTAAGTAGTTCTATGGTTAACTGTATGCTAAATAGGTTATTCAACCAATGTTGTAAATAAAAAGTTTGTTAAGATAACTTTCTCTTCATAATGAAAAGACATTTTTAAATCTTAATATTCTACATATAGAAAATCTATTGCCGTTTTTTAAACATACATTCATACTATGGTTCAATTTTTAAGGAAAAATACTCGTATGGGTTTTGTGAATATTATAATAATTTCAATGGTTAAGATCATGAGTCAGTTGAAGCTAGGCCACCATGGCGAGGTTGTGGATGCGCACTGCTGAGGAGTCTCACAATAGGAAGAAGCGGCCGTCCAGTGCTTTCAGGTTTTCCATGGTGGTCTAGCTTCAACTAACTCATGATCTTAACCAATGAAAAAAAATCGTTAATTATTTACATGGTATACAAATGACTATTCCTAGATATGATAAATCTTTCTTAATCTTACATATTATAATCAAACTGAGGAAGATTTTTGTACACTATCGATACTATTTTCATAAATTTTCAATGAAAACTATATCATCAGAAGAAAATAAAACTTGTAACTTTTTTTTAATTACTTATATTTTTTCTTTGAATTCATTTACAAGTGAATTAATAAATAAATATTTGGTATTTATTAGTTGCAATATATAAATAGTGTTATATTATTATTAGTAGTAGTAGTATTATAACAGTTTAATTGTATCAACAACCCATACTAGCTTAACATAAAGATCATTTTCGATTGCATTTGCATTTACATTTCGTCCATTTGTATTTACCACTATAATTATTCTTGGCCTTCTCTGTAGCCTTCCTCATCTGGTGGAGGAACTGGCTCTTCTGGAAATGGTGTTGGTAGTGGCGTTGCTTCTGTCGTATACTTATTACGATATCTTCTATGATTATTTCTTTTTTTTCCTTTTTTTCCTTTCTTTCCCGAATTTGAATTTCCGTTTGTTTTACTTGATGTCCGTTTGGTTGACGGTTTATATTTCTTGTATTTAACATATTTTTTCGGCTTAGATTCACTGTCTCTTTCTTTATCGGGTTTACGACTTTCCCCCCCACCATTATTGTTTTGTCCTGCATTAGAAACAGGTATAGGCGGTGGAAGATTTTCTGGATCTACATGCTTATCAGGTAAATAATTCCCATATCGAGCATATTTGGTAGGATCTTTTGGTGTGTAACCATAAGATTCCTTACCTTTTGATCCACCATTAGTGTTTTGTCCTGCATTAGAAACAGGTAAAGGCGGTGGAAGGGCACCCGGATCTATGGGCGTACCAGGTACATAACTCCCATATCGATCATATTTGGTAGGATCTTTTGGTGTGTAACCATAAGATTCTTTACCTTCTGATCCACCATTATTGTTTTGTCCTGCATTAGGAATAGGTATAGGCGGTGGAGTAGTTTCCGGTTCTTTGCGATAATCAGGTAAATAATTCCCATATCGGTCATATTTGGTAGGATCTTTTGGTGTATCACCATAAGCATCTTCACCTTTTATACCATGACCTTCTCCATAATATCTTGGTTTATAATAATGATGTCCACCGAAAACTATATCTCTCACTTCCATATCATATCTATCTAAATCATCATAATATCCGTGATGATGACTGTGGTTATAGTGCGGTTGTTGATGATTCCCGTCGCCATCAGGCTGATGTGGTCCTTGAGGGATTTTAGGAGGTGGTTGTACTCGTTGTTGACCATCATCAGGATTCGAAGGTGGTGGTGGTGGTGGTGGTGGCTGATCTCCGTCATCTGGATTATGTGGTGGATGTTGATGATGATCATCATGATTACCTGGATAATATCCACCATATAAATCATTTCCATTATTGAAAAATGAACTAACATCGTCATCATAACCATCAGGTGAAAATCCTTTACCACTATAAATTAATGGTATACATGTAATCAAATAAAAATAAATTAATTTCATATTTTATCGCCTATTGTTTTTTTCTTCTATATATTCTTAAATAAAATTACTTTTATTCAATCTCAATAAATAAAATGAACATTTAAAAATAATTCAGTTTTATTACTTATATTTATATACAATTAAAACACATAAAAGAAATAAATTTCTTTATCGAAAAGTTCATATCAGATAATAAATGCACTTAGATACATGCATATATTGGAAAAAATTAAAATCAATTTTACTCAATGATTTTTATCAAATATTTCTTTACTTAATAAAAAGCTTCTTTCTTTTAATATATGCATCTGGGGGGAAGAATGAGATACAGTGGACAAATAGGATGAAGCTGGATGATTTAGATTTCGTAGATGATCTAGCTCTTTTATTGCATATGCAATAACAAATGTAGGAGAAGACGACCAGTATATCAGTAGCCTCAACAACAGTAGGTCTTAACATATACAAAGGGAAAAGCAAGATTCTCTTATACAACACAGCATGCACCAATCCAATCACAATTAACGGAGATTTGGAAGATGTAAAAACCTTTACACATTTGGGCAGCATCATTGATGCACACGGTGGATCCGATGCAGATGCAAAGGCGCAGATCAGCAAAGCAAGAGCAGTATATTTACAACTGAAAAACATCTGGAACTCAAAACAACTGTCAACCAACACCAAGGTAAGAATTTTCAATACAAATGTCAAGGCAGTTCTACTGTATGGGGCGGAAACTTGGATAACTACAAAATCCATCATCCAGAAGATACAGGTGTTTATTAACAGTTGTCTACCCAAAATATTTCGGATCCGTTGGCCGGACACTATTAGCAACAACCTACTGTGGGAGAGAACAAATCAGATCCCAGTGGAGGAAGAAATCAGGAAGAAACGCTGGAAGTGGATAGGACACACATTGAGGAAAGCACCCAACTGCATCACAAGACAAGCCCTCACATGGAATCCTCAAGGCCAAAGGAAAAGTGGAAGACCAAAGAAAACATTACGCCGAGAAATGAAGACATACATGAGAAGAATGAACAACAATTGGATAGAACTAGAAAGAAAGGCCGAGGACAGCGTGGGTTGGAGAGTGCTGGTCGGCGGCCTATGCTCCATTGGGGGTAGCAGGTGTAAGTAAGTAAGTAATCTTATTATATTAACTGGAGGAGCCTTTATATATATTGTCTTGGTTTTTAGATTGTAAATCGTTATAGATTAATCTGAATTGGGTTATTTACTAAAAATTAATAAATAGCTGTTTAGCTCTATTATGAAACTTCTTTTCAGTTGAGACTTATAATTTTACCAAGGATTAAACAAAAACTTTCAAAGCCTCGCAATGATTGATTAACCATTAGAACCGATGGTTTAAAATTGCGATATAAAGCGATAGTCGTCTAATATTACTGGTGACAATTCTTTTACTCTTCATATATATGGGACCTAGTGTTGAACCCGTTGCGATACCATTTATATGCCGATATATTTCGCCATTGAATTTGAAGTTTACGTCCATAGTACATTTTAGTAATAATTCATTTATGATATCCACAGGGATTGTAGTCGCCATTTCCTGTTCTCTAAGTTGTTCATAAATATATTCAGCAGTCTTCCTGGGTGGTACACTTGTCTACAATGATGTTACGTTCAAGGACGTCATCGTTTGCCCTTTAGTGTTTATGTTTTTGATCATGTTGGAGAACCAAGATATATTCACTATGTCTTTGTGGAATAGTTTTAAAATGGCTACTAACATCCTTTTTACAGTATGGTAAGGGGAATTGTACATGGCCTAAATTGGTCTCAATGGAATATCCGGTTTGTTTACAAAAAATAGTCAGTTAAACCTTGGTAAGTGATCACCTGTCGACCTCCTCGTTTCGTATACGTATCTAAATAATACACATACAGTGTATTCTGCACTCTGAATTGTTTCCTCTTCTTGCCTTTACTTGTTTTTCCTACGCCATGCTTTTTCTACATCGAAACTCTCACTCTTTCTGATGGTTGTTGCAACTTCGAAGCCACGTTCTGCTACTACTTACAAACAATTTTGTGAGTAGCGTTCACCACAGTAGGAAAGTTCCTGTTCTTTTAGCTTATAATTTCATTTAATTCATACGCTTATTCAAATTAACAATGGACTTGGTTTTAAAATCAATAAGCCACAAATTGTTATATTCGATCACGTATTTACTGTGTTTTTTTTTCAGTTTTCTGCATTCACATTCTAACTTGGATGGTATTTAGTCCTTAGACATTTACCCACTAGCATATTTCTAAGTTACGTGAGCAAATATAAGTGATTAGAATTAGTAAAACCAAATAGAAAAATAGGAACAATGTTCAAGAAAAGAAAATGAATCATCGCCTGCACAAACATCATTTTGTGGTCAAACATCATAAAATATCTTCGCTCATATCAATGTTTATGGACAACTGTGAACACACATTCTACTGGAAAAATGTTGAAATCATAGAGACAGGGATTACTAAGAATACCGTAGAATTTTTAGAAGCATGTCACTCAGGTCAATCAGCAATCAACAAACACATTGAAATTGATTCAATTTATCAACCAGTCAGAAAAAATATAAAATAAACAAATATAAAACCAAGAATCAGATCAAAGGGTTATACAATCAAAAGAAAAAGGTAGAATTTTTGTCACCAACTGACATTAGCTATCGTACTAAAAAGTTAGAGTTAGGTATTAAGAGGTAATCTGAGTTAGATTCACAAATCAGGGTTCTGATAATCATTGTCTTCTTATTACACTAACCAAATTCCTGTGCATTTAATATTTTCACTAGTTTTCAAATATACAACATAAACTGCCAGAAGAAAAGTAATTACAGGACCCTCGTAATTTTTTATGTTATTGTAAACTTATTTGCTATTGTTGTGTGTATTCATGATAAATGATAAAAAGTGACTGAAAACAAAGATGTGGAAATGGATTTCGTTCTTGGTGGTTCCAACAAATAGTATATGGGATCGTGGACACATGTTACTGAGAAGTCTCTAACTGGGATTAAGCAGCTGTCTAGTATCCCACTGGTCTATAATAGAGCCCCAGTTAACATCAGTCGGTGACGGATGCTACCTCGACGTGGTAGTCGTGTTTGCTTAGTTTGATCAACCATCTGAGCTATATTGGTTAGAAAACCTGTTTGTTTAAATTTTACTCAGCCAGGTAGGTCAGCTGGAGAACGGTAAGATTAAAGGAAAAAACCCATGGTCTTAAGGTGAAATCGTATTGCTGACTGTACTGTGGTGTGAAAATAGTAAGATCGGGGCTAAGATCATACGTCACCCTACCCCACAGATTTAAGTGGTTGTCCTTTGGCCTATGAGGTCATGTCTCCAGGCCGCTAAAACCACTACCAATCCAAGTCCCTTTCTATGTGGATCAAGAAGTGTCCTCTTATAATGTTGGAAACTCGGAAATAATAATCGCCCTTGTGCCTCTGACAATACCATAGTACCTCTTGTTCACAACCAAATCTCTTCCTCACTTTATGTACCTTTTACTTCCGCTATTATGCATTTTTCTGCAGCTTTTCCTCATCCATTTGCTACACCGTTAATAATGATTCATATTTGTAAAATTTTACTGCTGATCTCCACGTTCTAAACCACATGTTGGAGCTTTCAATGTTCTAACATTGCGTCAGATTGAAGAACAAGCTCCCCTGGTTAGAACTTCGGAACGACGATCTCTCGACAAATCCATTGTTGCTAAAATCTCCATACGAAATCCTAATGTGGTTATATACTTGTCCTCACTAAGTCAAAATAAAGAACGGTCATAATTTATGCTTCGTGTATCTGGGGTCTTAACTGCCACTTCTCGTGGTCTCAATAGCGTAGGTATAGCGTTAATTTCAGGAGCAGAACACACTTCTGGACTGAATTCCAGGTGGTAGTCATCTACACACTTTCAACTTCAATCGTACAGTAAGAACTCAAAAAGACATGGACACGCACCGTTGCTTCTCAATTATCTCCTCTTACGCTTCCACTGACTGTAGTTCAGATAAAATGGAATATGAACTTTGTAGGATCCTTTCCATTCTCTTTCAAGATGCTAAACGTTCGAATGCAACAATAATAGCAGGTGACTTAATGCTCAAGTGAGTAACCTAAACTAAACTAAAAGACACTTAAATGAGTCTTGGAGTTACACAGCTGAACTAACGAACAACTGTGACCGTCAACTGAAACCATATTCAAATAACCATTTGTTTCTAGCAAGCCCTAACTTTAGGTAAAAATAGAGGCGTCTTCTAACATGCCAATCCCCAAAGTCGAATCACCAATGGACACAAATAGGCTACATCACTATCCATCAATAGAAAGGTTCAGTAGAAGACCGTTCCTCATTCTGGAGTATATGTTTAGGCTCTAGTTATTATCTAGGTCAAACACGTGATTTTAGCATCTTACTGGAGGCAGAAAAGCCAAGGCAAGGAGACCTCTTAGAGTTTTACTTAGCGATAAAAATGTCCAGAATATATTTTAAAAGCCAAAAAAGCAGCTAATCAGCCACCAATGTAAGTCACTGTAGTGTCTGTCATTATGTTAAGCCCAAATACCTCATTATTCTAACTTTCGGACAGCTCATTCTATTCATTCTATTTGAGTCACATTCTGACCTTGTTAATTATTCGCTTATCAATGTCTTGACTGTCTTTATATGAGCGCGTAGGCGTATGCACACTTCTTATCCCGTTACTCATCACATGTCTGTAATTTATTTTTGTGGGCTTATAAATATTGATTAACTCTTTGTTAAAGGAGAGTTGGCTTACCAGCCATCTCCACCGCGCGCCAACTTAGCTTCGCTTTCTAATCTTCGCATCGTTCCTCCGTTCGTTTGTCTAATCAACAATTATACAAAATATATGCATTCAAAACTCCATTCTCGTTAGTTGACTTATTTAATTCCGTTATTAACTAACGCGATTTAAGTTAATGATCATATACGAGGATAGACGATAGAAACCAATCATTACGATCAAATTGGAGTCAGATCACGGGCCACTAAAATGGTGATCCCGCCACCACAAGCTAACACAACAGGCTACTAAATCATAATTATATTCGATCAGCAGTGGTTTAAATCAAATGTTTGGGAGAAATTAGTGGATTCCGGTAGCAAATACTTAGTTGACGAGTGCTCGGAAACTCATCTCATCAGGCTCAAAACACTGTGAGGAGTGAAGACAATATAAACATAGGCTGAAAATCAATCTACGTAATTATCGTGTACAGGGGAAGCAAAAGAGAACGAAAAGGTAGTAGAGATAGGCAACAATAGATAATTTTTTTGACTTGACAAAGAAACAGATATTACGACTTCTAGAATCGGTGGAATTATTTCTGAAAAAATTGGGACAATGACTCACTCCCGACCCAAAAGACTAGAACGGCGACTAGCACAATTCGCAGAACAGTTGATCTTCCCTCCAGCTACTCTTCATTTACCTTTTTTAACAAGTAACCTGAATAGTATGTTAAAATAGGCCTTCTAACTCCCAATAAAGTCGAAATATTGCATTTAATCTAAAATGAGGAAGAACAAGAAGTCCTGAAGGGTTAAGGCCGGAGATCTTTAAGGCTGTAATCCAGTTTTAGCAGCTAGATTGACTAAAGTACAAGCTAGAATTCGGGTACAAGATCGTCTGATTGGTCTCGATGTCTGGTCGTTCCAGTCCATAAGAAAGAAGAAGATTCTTAGTGAGATAGCTACAGAAAAGTTAGTTTGACCAATATAATATTCAACATATTGGTTTCACAAATCGTTTTAAGTACAACTAAGGCTTTTGTAGAAGAAACTCGGAAAAACTAGAGTGGTTTCAGACCTGGATATGAATGCATTGACGAAGGATGGTCGAGTCAGAGCTTGTAGAAAAGTGTCATCGAAGTTGATAGCTTCAGGTGGTGTTCACCAGAGTTGTCAGACTTATTCATTTCTATCTAACTTTGCCGTCACAGTCGTTTTGAAGATAACACTTCCATCATATAATCTTTCGGGAATTGGTTTCCAGCCGGGCGGTTCACGTTTCAATTTAGAATACGGAGATTACATAAACTTGTTTGGTTGATACGCTCAAGAAATGCAGTCTTCTGACCACCTAAAGAAACAATGAAAGCATGTTTTAGATGTGATTCTTTCCCTCCAAATGCAAACTATTCCTTTAAAAATGATCTGAATCAAACCTTGAACTAGTGATTGGATGCGATGTAGGTGAATTGTATGATCACTTCACCTACCTTCGAAGACTCATCAGTCCTTATGAATCTATGTCTGGCAAAATCTCAGGAGGCATTCAGCAAGCTCCCTTAGCGTTTGTAACACATGTTACTTGAAGTAAAGAGAGGTATCCATTCTCTGAGCTGTATGGTTTGGTCAGATAGAAGTCTATCTGAAGTTGGTGCTGATGATGTCATTCAGAAGAACGATGAAAGCTCCACGACCAAACCATCCAGCTCAGAGAACTAAACTCCATCGAAATCATCCACCTGAGCTACAAATCTTCTTCACCATCTCAAGACCATCAAATATCAAAAATTTCGTTGTTTATTAGTGATATTTTTTATAGATTCGGTGTTCAACTAATTATGAAACTAATTATGTAAAATTCTTATAAAATCATACATTGTTATTAACTCTTGGTAATAAAGAATATATGCGTAACGATATTTATCAAAAAAGAAATCAGGTTTAGTTTTAAAATACAACAACTTATCAGAAGGGGTTTTTGTGGATAGTATAGTAATTTCGATAGTTGAGATCATGAGTCAGTTGAGGCTAGACCACCATGGAAAACCTGGAAGCACTGGACGACCAAGAAAAAAACTGGTCAAAGTAGGCATTTCAACCGTACTCCCAATTATATTCGTTTCCATATTTAAGTTGATCTACATGAAATGTTAAACAGAAATTTAATTAATTTCTATTGAAATAATTTTAGGCACGAGAAACAGAAGAAGAGAGGAAGGAAGAAGTTACAAAGTCAAAAGAACAGTTGGAAGCTGAAAAACGTGCTATTTTAGAACAACGTATACAACCATTGAATATTGGTGGTTTTAATGCTGATCAATTAACGAATAAAGCTAAAGAATTACACGATCTTATCTGTCGATTAGAGGGTGATATTTATGATTTATCACAACGTTTCACATGACAAAGTTATGATGTAATTCGTTATATTTTTTAAAAAAAATAGTACTGAACAACATATTTATGATTTGTTTACAAGTTGGTAAATGAAGGTCATATTCTACGTAGTTCATTATTATTCCTCTGGTTAGATGACATACTGTTTCCACTTCATATAGCTCATTTATAATGAACATAGCAGGGCTAGTTTAATGATTGAGATCATGAACTGTTTGATAGTAGACTACCACTGAAAACCTGGAAGTACTGAACGGCCGTCTTGTCCTGTTGTGGGACTCCTCATAAGTGAGAAATCACGATCCCGCTCGTGGGATTCAAACCCAGGGTATTCAGTCCCGTGGGCGAGCGCTTAACCTCTAGACCACTGATCCGGTATGTAACGGTGTTAATGTCTAACCTCAACCAATCCACGAAATAGCGCAACCACCTTCCATTGTACTGAGGTAGATACCTGTCTTTAATCGACACGGATTAGCTCCGCTGGTTACGGCTTCTCACTGTAACTCCAAGAATTCCCTTACGAAGCTATTCACTGGTGAGCACATGGTAATAGTCAGTATGGGGTTGTGGAAGTTATTATTATTATTTTAGACAATGCTATCATGTACTTATGGTACATCTTATTTTAACCATTAGTAGAGTACTTTCAACATATTTCTATCCCTGTTAAAACTTCATATCGGAGTATTCAGTGATCGGCAGTGAATAACACAAACTCCGGTCATGTATGGCGATATATATATGGATCATCACAGTACACTTTATCATTGTCGTTATGTAATCAGTATGAAAATCAAATACTTAAATAATATCAACATACAAGTGCAAATTGCATTGATTCGATTTATAATAAATGAATTTACTTGCTTTTAACTAACAGTCTATTACACAGAAATCTCTGTTTAGGTGCATAATAAAAATGAATATTGATTTACAGTAGAAAGTTTAGAATTGAAATGCATTTCCAGAATCCATAATTTTCTGTTTTTTTACAATATACTACTGTATACTCAAATATTTACTTGAATAAAGACTAGTAAATGACTTGGTCGCAATAAATCTTGTTTAATATTATCACTAATATTTAACATTTAAAAAGAATATGTAATTAGAATTGTAAAGCATTTTTCTCTAATTTAATAGTTGAATTGATGAGTCGATTGAAGCCAGACCACCATGGAAAACCTAAAAGCACTGGATGAACTTCTCGTTCTAGAACGGGAATCCTCATCAGTGCTCATCCACGATCCCGTCTCGCGAGATTCAAACCCAGGACCTATTAGTCTCGTTCACAAACGCTTAATCTCTAGACTACTGAGCCGGTATCCAACGGTGTTAATGTCTAACTTCAACCAATCCACTCTAGTCTTTAGTCTTGTATGTTAAATAAGTTAAACATAACTAAATTTTTATGTGGTCAGTTACCGAAAAACAAATAATTTTCTACTATCTAGCTATCATTAGCAAACAAACTTACTGGATATAACATGTACTGTAGATATTCAGATGAGTAACTAAACCTCAGAATTGACTATGTCTGATTTTCATCTTCTGAGAGTAATTTTTTAAATACCGTTCATTGAAGCTTCATACTTGCTGGGATAAACTATAAAATCATTTGATTTCAGAAACAATCGATACAATGGGAATGTAATACTATCTTAAGTGATCAATTTAACTGTCTTATTACAAATTAGGTTGAAAAAATCCTGTCACAATGAAGTTTTTCAATAATCGATCGAGTTACTTTATTTAATTGTACATGAAGACAACAATAGTTTGAATTGACTAAAACCGAATGATTTATAATTCTAAATGTTCATAGTAATTTATAAGTAACCTCATTCATTTAAGAGCTTGAAACATGCTACAACTATGTGTGTGTAAATTTCTTGCTATTTAATTTGTTACTTGCCTTGAGATCTAATTAGGCAGCTTCCGGGAATTAAAGGCTATTATAGAAAAATCATAAAGTAACTTTATTTTTTGAGTAGAAACAAATCATACGGAAACTTTCTTGGCTACAAAACTTGAAAAAGTGTTGTTGAACATATATAATCCATATGACACCAGGCAGTACATGAAATAACGGATATCAATGATTAAGCTTATTTTTCTAAATTAAAAAAAATCAGCTGACAACAATTGATTTACAAACTTATTCTAATCACGATAATCACGAACATCTCTAACTCTCTATATTATTGAATACAAGGATGATTTCTAAAATTGAAAACACTGGTATAAAGTTCAGATAAATGGTTATGTGGTAATCAATATGAGCCAAAATATATACTGTGAATTTAAAGAATCATAAACCTTGTAAATTAAACGCAAATGTATATATAATACTGATGAATAGCACAGAAGTTTCAAAGTAAATTGTAGATAAAACCAATGCATGTGTTCGCATTAGCTAGCAATTCTATACATACAACTGTACACATAATGCCAACTTATTTATACTACATTCTCAAAGTACTCATGAGTAGTGAAAAATGTAGAATTATAATTTATTTGCATTAACTGCACTCACAATTATTTGGAATTTTCTAAAATTACCCTGAAGAAGTCAAAACAAGTTAGCTAAACGAAAAGTTGGAATTACTTCAATTCCAGTCGCTGAGATTATTTCCAATATAATCTTACAATAAGATTAGTAATAATAGTTCATTACTGATTGTTCATCATCTTCAGGAAAGCCAAGATTTTATGAGAGGTGTTAGGAGGTTAAACAGAGAGGACAATGTTGTAGTGTAAATGATTATATAAATTAGTGAATAGAGTAAAACATTTTCTAGTTTACATTTAGAAAACACTCATTTCCAATGTTTATCTAGTATGGTCGAGCAAAAACATACAAATAATATACAAAGTTGTCCATCTATAAATACTGTTCGTATGAAGGAAATATAGACGATACTTACGTTAACTGTGTCAATAATTCCTATTCGACTAATATTTTACGCATCTTGACCATTGGAAACACTAATGAAATTTACTCTTGAAGAAGAAGAATAGTTCAAGTTTTCTCTCCCTTAACTTTGAGATGGAGATTTGTTCAGATGGGAATTCACGAATACTTTTTTTTCAAGAAACCTATACCACATGTGACCTGAAGCTTCTGAATTGGTGCTTCGGTAAAGTCATAGTTGTTTATTTGTTCATAAGTGTCTAAGAAGTTCCATACTGAGATAAAACAAATGGCCAATGCTTCCTGATTCTTATTTGATTTCTAGCTACATTTATTACGTGTTATCAACTCCCTAAAAACCGATATAATCGTATCACAAGTGACCAAGTAAAAGGAAGAAACGATTATCAACATCGTAACAGTTTATTATTACTCTCCGTAAAGAAACTCCACATGATTTCGATGAAAGTGAATTCATTCTTTGAATACATAATTTAACTCAGAATATACAATGTACGATATGACATAGTACCTTTCATGAAACGTATTTATTGTATAAATAAGTCTATATTTTAGGTTATACACATTTAATTATAAGTGTTATGTGTGATTTTAAAACAAACATGGAAATCTATCAATAGGATAGTAATTTTAGTTTGCTTATTTAATCATTCATTTTGATCATTTTAAAATTACTTGTGGTTTAGTTAACTCTTAGCTTCTAATGTGTGGTACATCATTGACTTGATTTAGAATAATACCCTAAATCATCACTCAGTTAAGTTACTTGTATGTATGGTAAGAGACTTTTCTGAAGAAGTCAGTCACTTAACTTATAAATGCTCTGTTTTTTTTTCGCATCTGATTGATGATGAATATCTTATCAAGACTGAGGAAACTTTCTGAGTATGAAGTTTGATCTAGGAGATCAAAACCAATATTTCAGCCTCATATAAAAAAGTTCGTCTTTTGATATCATAGCGAAATACTTCAATAAAACATGGTCTAATAATATGATTTTAGGAACCAAAGCGAAACTGAGCAGTTTAGCCTACAAACGGTGCATCATACAAAGTCACCATCGTTCCTCTAAATCTATACTAACTTTACCATAACACCTTTAGGAAATCTTAATGGTTTCCATAAACGTTATTACCAGATATCGAAAACTGAATCAAATACTTTGGTACTGTTGAGCATACTTCGTTTATTCTTGTAATATCGCAAGCACTTCATGCAATTTAATCAACTGTTAATTGGTTATGTCAAGAACAAACAATACTTTTTAATGATAATAAATATATTTATTTTATTATTAATAATAATGATCCTGTTCCTTATTCACTAGTATGTTTTATTGTTTTAGTCTTCAGTAGATTTGACCACCGTTTCCGTTCCCACCATAATTACTACCACTTGGTTTAAAACTTGATTTATCCTTGAATGTTGAATATCCATGCAATTTACTAACAACTTCAAATTTCGCTTTCATTTGTTGATTGCCATATTTTTTCACATGTCCTCGTGTATCATAATCTAAAAACTGTCGTTTTTTTCCATAAATATCATAGCCACCACCTTTACGGAATTTAGTTAATGATAAATAATTTACACCATAATCTTGATGTCCAATACCAGTCATTTTACCATGAACTTGTAAATGACTATGACTATGCTTAGAACCAGACATAACTCCAGTGCCAGTTGAACCAATACCATATTCATTAGTAGGTGATACATAACTGGATCCATAATCTTGATAATTATTTGCTTGATAATTATTATTTGTTGGTGTATAATCGTTATTTTTATAATCAACATAATTATTCTTATTCTTATTATTAATGTAATTGTTCCCATTGTAATCGATATATGAATTATAAGACGTTGGTTGATAATTGGAACTGTCATAATTATTCTTCTTTTTAATTTTGACATAATCATTATCATATTTATTAACGTATTCATTATTTGTAGTCGAATCATAATCATTACTTATATGTTCTCTAATATAATCATCACCATTATATTTATTGTTTTGATAAGGTTGTTGATAAACAGGATTTATATAGCTTTGTTGATATTTGTTT